AAATATTTCTAACAGCCAAAACCATCAGTAAATTTTGGACTTTTAAGTAGATTTGGGTAGTTTGTATACCTTATCGTTTAAATCTTAGAAAGTATTCAAAACTAACCTTCTGGTGACGGAAGTACAATTTTTTCTTCCGTACTAACACTTCGCAAGCTTTCTGGATTGAACTGTTTAATACCCGCTTTCATTTCGTCTTCAATCTTCTCCCTTTTTACATCTAAATAGCAGATGATATTAATTTACTGTATGCAGGCTTTATATATTTTCCGTAATACGTAAATGAAGTGCCAATAAAACCAGAAGTACTTTCTTTTGGGCAATCTCCTTTTAGGGCCTGACTTAGAAGGAAATTTGTGATCTCTTTCAGTCTGATAGACCCACTTTTTTTTGTCCAGTCAAGTCGATGAATTCAAATCGTTACAAATGTGACATTGTTTCATTACAACCAATAAAAAAAATGAGGTCATCTAACTGAAGTGGGGTCGGAATTTAAAATAAAGAATTCAAACACTGGAGTCCTCCAAATTTCACGCTTAAAACAAAAAAAGGTATGAGTATTCTGAGGGGGATAAACATAACAAGCTGAACATCCAACTGCTTCATTTGTCAGCAAGAGGCCTAATCATCTTGATATATGGATAAACTTTCCGTTAAAAATACAGCAAATTACAGACTCATTGTGTTCCTAAGGTTAAAATCTTTGGCTACTTCGCTAATTAATGCTTCATTTCCAGTCATGAACCAAAAAACTACATGAGTCATTTAATTACTGAATTTGGCAGCCCGCATTACGGTCCATTACAAAATGCAAAAACAGCAAATTTGAACAATGGGCATAAATTTCAGACAACTTAATGATGCATATAAAGCTGTTGATAGTTTTAACCAAGAAGAAAGTAGGAAAATATAGGAAAAGTAGGAAAATACAATAAATATCAGTTATGCAAAATCAGTCTAACCATCATGGGACGGAAGGACATTTTTTTCCACGGTGTTCGTATGTTTCAGGCAACTGCTGTCATGAGATATGATAGCTTCTTTTAGAACTGGGTCCACCTTTTCAGCAGCGACATCTGCAAAAAAAAAAAACAATCATGCTTTGGTTTTTCTGACCCCACATGTAAATTTAACGTTTTGAAAGGGGTTTAGATACCCTGAATTACCAGTTGAAAAGCTTTAAGAAAAAAATTGAAAAAAAAAAACAAAAAGCAAAAGCAGAAGAAAGGAAAAAATCTTTAAAAACGAAGATTTAAGGATGGCTAACTAAAATATTTCCAGCTTTTTTTCTCAAATTTTTCCGGAAAAGTGCAAACTTTAGTTGGTTTTTGACAACAGACAACGTGACATCACCACCTTTCCCATGATAAAAACCAATAAAACCTGTTCTTTCACGGGGTAACACACTCGCTCCTCTTCTTCAAAATCCCCACCTTAAACGTTTTTTCTTCCCACAAAGGAAACAAAAAAAGATTTGATTAGGCGTCTTAATTTGAAGTACTGCTACGGTACCACTTGAAAGCACCCAAAAAGGGTGAACAAAAGAAAGCTTCTGACGTTTTTTTGAGCTTACAGGCCAAGTACTTCTTTGGCTTAGCAAATGGAAAAAAAGAACGAGAAAACACTCAGAAAAAAAAAAAAAAACAATTGCCATCAAATAGGGTGGGAGAAGCAAGCGATTACGTCACAAGGGTCATAAGATTAAACTTGATGGCGCGTACTGATAAAAATGTTTTTTTTTTTTTTTGCTTTTCTTCAAATTCATATTTTTAAAACAATGTGACTTTGTTCTCCTTCACTTGTTTAAAAACTTTTAGTTGCCAATAATAACTTCTAAAAGTTGAAAACCAAAACCAAAAGTGAAGCTATTAACATCAGCAGTGCGAGAAAAGTGAAAGACGAGTAGGAAAAAAAAAAGCAACTTGGATATACCTATTCATAAGAATGTCAAAAGTGACAAGAAACAAAGAAAGTGCTATAAGAAGAAAGATTTTTACTGGCCCAAAGTTCTGAGTGAAAAAATTAATAACAATTAAATAGTGAACAGAAGAAATAAATTAGCAATTTTACCATTGTAATAGTCAAAAACACAAATTTCAAGGTCAATAAAGACAAATTTAAATGATTGTAAAAATATAAGTGGCCAACTAAAACAGAAAGAAAAAAATTTTATTTTTACAAAACTATTAGTGTATATATGTAAAACCGACCCATTGGTCTCGGGATATACTGCTTTTCGGCAGTTTCCACATGTTTCAGATCATGGCTTTCCTTGACACTTTTAGCCAAACTTTCTGGAAGCTTTGGCAGTTCAGCTAAGGTTGGTGATTTTGGTCCTGCAGACATGTCACAACTGCTTCAATTAGTAGTGTTTTCAAAAATGCAGCTAAAATTTTTTATTTTAACTTCAGTTATGCCAAATAACGTTGATGAAAACAACGACAATAAAAAAAACATTAAATAAATTATATAATGCAGCAAAAAGCATAGAAGTTCCTTTTTGTCATTCATATCACTACAGATATGAATGTGCAAAAGGAAAAGATCTAAACTGGTCAACAAAATACAACTCTGCTCTTTTTTTTTTTTGCATTGGAACAGTTTCCTTTTTATTTATTTTCCTTCTTATTTTCTCTTTTTGCCTCATCAAATATATAATTATAACATTATACTTAAAATTTTCCTCATGAAAAAGAAAGAAGTAGAGAGTATATGCTCTAATAGAATTTGGAGAAAACAATTGTAGATCTGTATAAACCCCTACAACAAACCCTCCACCCTCATTTAGCAGCTTCTCTTGCCCACTTTAGCTCGCTATGCCCACTAACCTTTTAACATCATCAACACCGTCATTGTCATCACTAAGCGTAAATTATTTCCCGAAATTCATAAATATAATCAAAACACGAGAAAAAAAAAAAGCAAAACCAGAAGCAAAAAAATCAGGAAAAAAAGGAAAAAAATCTACGCAAGTTACATCATTTTTCATTCTTCCTGAACAGCCATTTAAAACTGAATATATTAGACTAAGACACAAATTGAACAAACCGCTCAAACATTGATTTAAGCGTTACTTACCACCCAACAAAAACAAAAAAACAGTCCTGATGTATTCTTCTTCACCTTCTCTCATCTCCTTTTAAGCATTTCAAGTAATTTTTAACGCAAAAAGCATACAAATATACTCATATCTAAAGAAGTACATAAACAGATAAACAACAAGACTTAAACGGTGCAGCAAGTTTCAAACTTTATACGGCAATCGCCTAAAATTTGGTGCAGCACTGAGAGAAATGAAGAAATAATAATAACAATGATAAAATAAAATCAAGTTCTCATAAACAATTATAAATAATTGCTTTCATATAAGAAAAATTAAACAGTAAAAAACGACAGTAAACAGTTCTGTCCAGAACCGTACCAGCATCTCCTCCTTTCTCCATCCTTCTAAATTGGCAAAAAAAAAAAATCACATATTAACGTCGCCGTACCCAAAGTTGTTAGTCTTATTCAAATATTTAAGTTTATTCAAAATCTTCAACTTTAAATTTTCACTTTTATAGGTTTTCCAAATGAATGATCTTTTCTTTAGTCTCTTGATTCGAAAAGAGACAGAAGACAGCAGTCAAAATAATGACAATCAGTGATCTTCACAGACAGTCATCACAGACTTGACTTGACCAGCTAAACTTATTGTTAATACTATTTACTGTTTTTGCACTGAACTCTATCATTACTGCAGTTATTGTCTCGTTATATATATCTTTTGTTGCTCTCCTACATTCTTATAATCAAAAATCGACCAGCACCGTGATGAAGCTGAATCTAAAAACTTTACTTTTACTGCACTAAATGATGTTCAACTGACTAGCACCACCCATATAAGAATTTCCAGATGCAACAAACACTAAAAAGCATTGCTCAACAATATAAAATAGACCAACAAACTGTCTGGTACGACAAGAACAAAAATGATGAATCATACGGAGGGGAACCAAGCATGAAGAAAAAGGAAACGATTAAGAATGACAAAAAATAAATAAATAAACAGCCGGCGAAATCAGAGACAATCACTTGACAACCGTTTCAATACTATTATCAGTTAAGAAACAATTGAAAAACTTGTTGTCTGTTTCATCGGGTATTATCAGTTGAAGAAGAACTGAAATCCTAAAGTTACGTCAGTAATTTGTATAGGCGTTATTGGACAACAGTACCATTTGTTGCTAGTTGATTAGCTGATTGAAAAATTTTTTTTCAACCATTTTTTGGTCACCCACCCAAAACAGTGACAATAAGATCAGCGAGAAAAAAACAGAAAAAAAAAATATGATGATTTAAAATAAAACGAAAAACACCGTAACTTCATGACAATATAATGATGGCGAATACAGTTTGCTACGACAATAGGCATTATGGTCGATGTAAATCAAAAACAATTACAATCCAATATCTACATTTTTGTAACAACAATCCTTTAAACGTTAAACGATTACTATTGAATTTTCACCTGTTGAAATCATTTATTACGCAATAGAATCAAATGAATCATTGGCAACAAAAAAAAAAAAACAATGTAACCACTTTCCTATTCAGACGCCCTATTAAAAGGCAGCAACAGGAACAGAACACAGTCGTTGAAGTCATTCAAAGAAGCTCAGCAATAAATTATGACATGGTCATTAGAGGCTAAGAGAAAATTAAGTTCTCTCTATAAAAACATTGATAAGCATCTAAATAAAGCTGCTGCTGCAAAAAAAAAAAAAAA